TGATTAAACTTTCCTATTCTAAACACTCCATCCAGTTTAATCCCGTCCAGGTCTGTCTCTTATGGAGTTTAGAATTTTTACAACTAGATCATATAGTGATTCCCCTTTTACTTGCTCTGGAATTCCTCGAACTCTAAGGTTACATCTTCTTTCTTTATTTTCTTGAACTTCCATCCTATAGAGCAATTTTTTCTGGGTATTCTCCAAGTAAGTTATTTTTTTCTCTAGATTATCTATGGTTTGGGCCTGATTTTTAACTTTTTCCTCTGTTTCTTCCACTCTCGATAGCAGGTGTCTTAGATCATTCCGCACAACTGTCATTTCTTGTTTTATCATTTTTTCCAAACTTTGAAACATTTCTATCATCTCCTTTTTATTTGGTGCTTGTAGTTCACCGTTTTTTTTTTTTTTTTTTTTTTTTTTTTTTTTTTTTTTCCCAAGCCCTCTGTTGTTAGGTGGCTACAGCTACTATTCATACCCATTGATATTCTAGGACTATTTCCCAGAGAAATGTCCATATCCCCTTTTGCGTTTGCGCCTTGGGCCCTTTCTGGCGTAATATTACTTTGCGATGTAAATTTCTTTATCGTATCTGTTTGAGACCCTTTGGGCCCTGTTCCCTTAGGACCTTTGTTCTTCATTTCCTCTAAAACTCTGGTTTCTTCACTTATTCTCAAGATGAAATTATATCAGTCCTTTAATTTGTACACCAGACAAAACCTGCTGATATCCCATATATTTTTACTCTCCTGGGACACCTGGAGCTCTTCTCATCTTCTCTTTCTTAGCCCAGGGAATCCTCCCCTCCTCTCCTTCACCCCTAGATTTCCCATATCACTCGGGGTTCCCCCACACGATAAGCCCCCAATGGCTCTCACTCACCCTTCTTCTTCTCCAAGCAGTGGCTCCGAGCTTAAGGTGTGGGGCCTTCACAGCAACTCAGTCCAAGGGGGGATTCCTCTGGGCTTCACTCCTCTCCTCGTGTCCTTCATCCAAACTCTTCACAAGATAGCAGGGTGAATCCCTTCACTCTATTGGGTCACTCAGACCCAGGATCAATGAGCTGGCCAGGGGGTTTGAACATATGGGAGCCGGCGGCTCCCTCTTACATCGGGACGCCGGCCGGTTTCTTCCTTCTCCCAGAGATCCTCCGGGGCTGGTCATGTGCTCCCACCATGTCACCTCGCCCCTCAGCCTCCTGGGTCTCTCCTCCGTAAGGCGCCGGACGGGTCAGCGCATCACTGCCACCTCCGCCCTGGTCTCATCTCCGGTTTTCTCTCCTCTCCTGTACCGACCGACAGACTCCGGTGAGTCAAATCCCCGTATCCTACTCCAGATGGTCACTGGGGAGGTCGAGTAGCGGCGCTTAGCAGGGAGCTATTGCCGCACGCTCCCCACAGCCGCCATGCTCAGGCTCCTCCCTTAAATATGCCAGATTTTAAGAGATCTAATTCAGTGTTAATATCAAGAATTGCAGATTGGATATATAATGCACGGGGGAGAAGTTGGGTAAAATTGGAGAGTTCACTTAGTAAGGCACCACTAGGTAGGATCATTTGGATACCACATAGGTTCCGCACTTTGGACAAAGATACAAGCACTTTGACACTGAATGTATTAAGGATTTGGGATGAAATGCCCAAGCAGAAGGGTTGGAAGTTTAATTTATTGTCAATTCCTTTGGTGGGAACAAAGTTCTCACCTGGGAATGATAATATTTCTGGAAAATGGATAAATGATAGAAATGCACGTCTAAAAGATATTGTGGATAACTGGGTATTATGTTCTTTACACAATTTAAAAAATAAGAAGGAAATATATTCTACACTGGATGAATGTCGGTACTATCAAATAAGACATTTTTTGTTGTAATGCTTCCATAGCCACTAAGGACTGAAGAAGAAATGTATCCTTTTTAGAGCAAATGTTTAGCTCAAATAGAATACAAAAACATGCTACCTCTAGGGTTTACAAGATTCTTACTGAAATAGATGGACCATTGTCCCAAATGTTTCTGGATAAGTGGGAAAAGGCGCTTGGCACAAAATTGAACGAGCAAGAAAAAAATAAAATGTTTAGACTAATACACGGGACGGTGAATATGAATATAGTTGAAATTAATTAAAAATGTCTGGTAAGATGGTATATTACACCTAACGGGACGCGTAAGCCAATACTAGAGGTCTCACCCCAGTGTTGGAGGAGATGTGGGAGTAAGGGTACAATGGCACATATTTGGTGGTATTGTCCTAAAATACAGGAGTTCTGGCAGGGGAAAATTCAATTCATACACAAGATACTAAAGATTAGTATACTGTTAGACCTGTGGGTTTGCTTATGTCACAAATCTGAGCTGTCGGTGAAGCAATATAAAAATGCGATACTGTTCGATCTTCTAAATGCGGCCAAAAGTCTTATTCCCAAATCCTGGAAAACCGAGCCGCCAAAAAAAAAAAGATTGGATAGATAGTAGAGTATATATACAAAATGGAAGAGTTATATCATAGATGAGGATAAAATGGAAAAATTCCAAAAAATCCAGGGAAGAATGGCATAACTTCAAACAATCAAGACGATATTTAGAAGTGGTTAGAGTGTAATGGAAAAAGAAAATAAATGGCAAAGGAATAAGCGTATGGGAATAAGTCTGCCAACAAGGGATTTGCCACCAAGTACTAAGTCATGTTTTGTGAAGGGAAACAAATACTTATTTCCCTCATGAACATGCAAATCCGTGCATAATTTGTTAGACATGCATTTCTTTTGAATTTTTTGTTGCTATTCTGTCTGTTACAATACACCTACAATTCGATTTTTAGACTGATCATTTCTTTGTGAGTGGGCAAACATTCAAAATCAGCAGGGGATCAAATACTTATTTCCTTCACTGTATATGGGAGAACAAAAAATATATATATTTTTTTTTATTTTTTGAGAGTGAAAATTTTAGTTGTGCTCAAAAGTTTGCATGCCCTGGCAGTAAGCGAGAGATTTGGGCATTTTATATTGAAAGTGTGACTGACCATACCAAAAAACTCCATTATTTAAGGATCGTTATCATACGAAGCTATTTATTATCACATAGTAATTTGGCTCTTTTAAATCATAATAACAGATACACAAGGCCAAACATAGGTTAAAATTAAAGGTTAATTTCCCACCTCTGTGTATAAATAGTCAATGAGTTTCAGATCTCACGTGGATGCACTGAGCAGGCTAGATACTGAGCCATGGGGAGCAGAAAAAAACAGTCAAAAGACCTGTGTAACAAGGTAATGGAACTTTTATAAAGATGGAAGAGGATATAAAAAGATATCCAAAGCCTTGAATATTATAATATCAATGTGCAGCACTAATAAAAATTTGTGTTCTAATCAATGATGACCAATGTGATAGCAAAAAAGAAAGGAAACATCATAAAAAAGAAATCGAGAATAATGAATGCTCCAATGAAGAAACAAAATGGACGATATAACAAATGAAAATATTTAAGTCCTCTAAATATAATAGTCCCAAAAATAGTGATGTGATCAAATCAAAAAAATGTAGTGACTTCCACACTGCACCTCCACCATAATGCACTCACCAGAAGTAAGTAGCAAGCAAGTCCAAAGCAGAATGACACTAAGGGGTGTTCCTGCTTGTTCCTCCTGCCAGTGACTCGGTTTTGAAAGTGGGATCTCTCCAGAAGCCAGTGATACACCAAATGAACAATCAAAAGTAGAGTAGCCAAGTCTCCATCTCCAGCCTATGGTGAACCAAGGAAAGGGATTCCTCCTAGAGGGCAAGCTCATAAACCAAGCCCGGAGTATCATATAATGTAGTATGTTTTATTAAAAAAATAGCAACCACGTGGAGCATAAAATCATCAATTGATAAAAAGCACTTACAAAGATGGCCGCCGGACCATCACATGGATGTGGCGGCGTGATGTCAGTACGTAGGCACCTCCCTGAAGCATTTTGTGCGCACGCACATTCTCAAAGGGATCGATCTAGTGCATTCTCTGATTAAACAAAGCCTTGAATATGCCAGTCAGTACTATTCAATCACATATTAAGAAGTGAAACATTTGGGGATCTCTTGTTACCAAGCCAAGGTCAGGTTGACAAAGATTGGAAGCACAACTGCCAGAAGAGTTGTTTGGGATACAAAGAAAAACCTACAGGTAACCTCAGGAGCAATACAGGCTGCTCTGGAAAAGACAGTGTGGTTGTTTCAAGGAGCACAATGTGATAGTACATGATCTAAAAATGAGATGCTTGGTTGAGTTGCCAGAAAAAGATGCCTTTACTGAGCCAATGCCAAATAAAAGCACTATGTTTGGAAAGGGTCAGCAAGGCTTATAGCAACAAGAATACCATCCCCACTGTAAAGCATGGTGGTGGCACACTGATGTTTTGAGGGGGGGGGGGGGAGCTCTAAAGGCACAAGAAATCTTGTGACTATGAAGAGATGCATGTTATCAGAAAATACTGGCGGAAAATTTGCATTCTTTTGCACAAGAGCTGCTCATGGGATGCTCTTGGACAATGACCCTAAGCACAAGACCAAGTTGACCATCCAATGATTACAGTAGGAGAAGGTGAAGGTTCTGAAGTGGCCATCACATTCTCATTACCTCAATATCTTTGAGCCACTCTGGGGAGATCTCGAACATGCGGTTCATGCAAGATGACCAAAGACTTTTCATGACCTGGAGGTATTTTGCCAGTATGAATGGACAGCTATGCAACCTGCAAGATTTCAGGGCCTCATAGACAACATTTACAAAAGACTGCACACTGTCATTGATGCAAAAGGTGGCGATACATAGTATGGATAAGGATATGCAGACTTTTGAACAGGGGTCATTTCATTTGTTTTACTTGTTGCCATTTTGAGTACAACTGTATGTAGAGAGAGATCTAAAGTATGAATAACGAGATGTAAAGTGTACTGGTATTTTAAAGGCTTCTTTTTGAAATCTTGTCTAAGTAAATTTTGTCCATTTCCTACAGATTCCTTGTACACAGGTACTCTGTCCTGAGGGAGCATGTGGATACTACTGGAGATGAACAGTTGGATTCAAATATTGGTGCAGCTCACAGAAGTAATAGTTATCGTGATGACTCTGATGAGGTAGTGTAACATGCTATGGGTTGAAAATTTACTATATACTTTACTATTTCAGCTTTTTTTAAAATGATTTTTTATATGAGGAAAAACAAGAGTTAGCGCTTCTGATGGATTTTTATTGCGATCTGTGTCTGGGGAAGTTTCCCTTTTACTTCCTGTCAGTACAAAAGTTCATGAGGTATTTCATGTGTGGTGTGAAGTGATGGGTCTTCATATGAGAATCTCAATATGAGTGTCTTGCCTGATGGAATACTTTTTTTGGAGAGATGCCAATTCAAAAGGCCATAAACATGTTTCAAAATTTCAAGAGGAAAGCACCACAAAGATGGTACAAAGGAATTTCCAAAGTGGCTTATACTCCATTCAAGCAATATGCCACTGCTGTCAATGGCAAATTAAAGACCTACCAAAACAATTTGCAAAATGCAGTTTGATTGCAAGAATCGGATCGTATGGGTACGAACATCCATGCAGTCCGATTCCGATGTGGCAAAACAAGGCTCCTGCACCTTTTTTGTGCGGGTGCGGCGCAAACTGAGCCCACACAAAATCGCACTGCCAAGAATCATGTGATTTGTACAAGAATACTGTGCAAATCCTGTCCAAATCGCATGCAATTTCCCACACCATAGTAGCGTGAATCCAATCTTAGGCAGGTGTGAAATGCTATAAATTAAAAATGATTTCAGAAATAGAAGTGTTAATAGATTATTTTTATCAATTAACAAAATGGAAAGTAAATGAACAGCAGAGAAATCCACATCAAATCAATTTGGTGTGACCACCCTTTGCCTTCAAAACTGCATTAATTCTGCTAGGTACACTTGCACACAGTTCTTTAAGTTACTCAGCAGGTATGTTGTTTCAAACATCTTAATGACATTAGCTATATGTTTGGTGTCATTGTCCCACTGTAGAAATCATTTGGGGCTATTCACACGCCTCCCTGATAGTATGGCATGCAAACTTGCAAAGAACCTCAACCTTGCTTCACTGTTGCCTGCAGACACTCATTATTGCACCACTCTCCACTCCTCCAGCAAACAAATTGCCCCTCCTGCTACAGCCAAATATTTCAAAATTTTGGCCTATTAGTTCAGAGCACCTGCTACCATTTTTCTGCATCCCAGTTCGTGTTTTCGTGCGTAGTTGAGTCGCTTAGCTTTGCTCCCATGTTGGAGGTGTGGCTTTTTGGCCGCAATTCTTCCATGAAGACCACTTCTGCCCAGACTTCTCTGAGCAGTAGATGGGTGTACCTAAGTCCCACTAGTTTCCGCTTGTCCTGTGCTAATGGCACTGCTGGACATTGGATGTTGAAGGGAAGTAAGCATAATGTGCCTTTCAACTGCTGCATTAAAGCGGATGTAAAGGCCCACTCAATACTCACCTGAACCTCATTGCGATCCGAGCCATTGACTCCCGCTGCTGTCAATCACACCTAGTCCGCCAATGAGACAGTGGGCAGGTCCAAGCTGCTTGCTGTGGGGGCACCCCACAGGAGGGAGGGGCCAGGACAGTCTGCGCAAGAGGAGGATCCAGGCTGCTGTGTGCAAAAAACCACTGCACACAGTATGTAAGTATAGAATAAAAAAATGAGCCTTTAGAATCACTTTTTTTCCCTGCCAATCACTGTCTATGGTCCTTTTCAACTTTGAAATTTTTGCCTGTGGGAGACCTTTGCCTGTGACATGAAACTGTTTTTAACACAACCTTACCTTAGTAGCAATGTTTGTCTGTTCGTCACCCAGTTTTTAAGCCTCTTACACAGCTGTTTGTTTCAGTTAATGACAGCGAAATGAAGTATGAAGTAAATATGAAATTGATGATCATTAGTACCTAGGTATATTTGGTTAATCATATACCTTACTCGCTTTCGCTGGGCGTATGGGTGAGGGAATTGTAGGCTGTACAAATGGTAGGAATAATATTGGATGCGGCCCATTGGTGTAGTTTCAGCCAGCCAGGAGCAACACTTACCCTCTAGTGCAGTGGTCTCCAAACTGTGACTTGAGGGCCAGATGTGGCCCTTTGCTTGCCTTTATCCAGTCCATGGGCACATTCCTCCCGACGATGGGGCACCATTCTCTCCCACCATTGGGGCACCATTCCTCCCGACGACGATGGGGCACCATTCCTCCCACCGATGCCGACAATGGGGCACCATTCCTCCCATTGTTGCCGATGATGGGGCACTATTCTTCAATTGGAGAAGTGTTTCTTTAGAGCCTGATTTTATATGATCTAGTTCCAGAGTGGAAATGAGGTGGTATAAAATACCATTTCCTTTGTAGATTTCCTCTTGAGGCGTACCCCACGGGAAATGTGTCCCTTGCGGGACACAATTCAGCGTTTTAAATAGGGGGAGGTAATGTATCTCCGCGAATTGAACAATCTGTTAACATTGGGTAAAATCCCTTAGGCAGGTAGGATCATTGAGGAAATTATGCTTTAGACGCCACGTACTGTGTCGTTGAGGTCTATCTGGAAGATCAATGGAGATATACATTTGGGCATGACCGGATAGAAGAATGGAGCCTAAGCTTGCTACTGTTTTTGAGCTTTGGGTTAAAGGTTCATTCACACGGTTTTCACATGGACTGACACGTGGACTTTTTATAATTTGGTTCTGTTTAAATACCTAAAAAATTTTGTAGGTGTATATACGATATGTGTAGAGTCATTGTATGAGTATACATTTTTCATTGTAATTTTCACTTCTTTTTTGCACCTTGGGTGAGGTGTTGAGGCAGCACTTTTGGTATTGTATGTTTATGAAAGTTGGTAGCTTTGTTGTGCAAAGGCATTTTAATTCTCTCACCTCTCAGATGGTCTGCTTTATGACATTCCTTCTTTGAATCCTTCTGAAAAGAGCAAAGCAGCAAGGGTACAGGATCAGTGTATAACATCATTTATTGGACAAAGATATAGCACACTTACACATGAGAAGCCTGTAAACAGACTGAAGACCAAAAGGAGTACACTGTAGGGACTGCTAGCAGGGATGATTGGTGGGCTACTGTGATGTTAAAGTGGTTCTAAAGGCTCAAGGTTTTTTTTACCTTCATGCATGAAGGTAAAAAAAAACCTTCTGTGGGTAGCAGCCTCCCTAATACTTACCTGAGCCCCATCTCGATTCAGCGATGTTCACGAGAGCCTCGGTTCTTCAGGGACTCAAACCTCTAATAATTCTTTGTATGTAAAGTGCATGGGAAAAAACAATTCATTATAATAACATTCATATGTGAATATAAAAGGTTAGTATAAAAAAAATTGCTCAACAAAGATGATTAAGTTACAGTTGTTGATGGTAAAAATAAATATAAAAATTATATCTCAATTTATATCAAAAGAACAAAATGCAATGTCTTAATAGCATGTATTTCATAAATATTCATCAGTGCAGTGTCCAGATAAAAAAAACAACTTGCTTAGTAAATAGTATTGTTTTTATTTAATATTGTAAAGTATGATATTATTAGGTAAATGTATAATGTGTAAAAAATTACGTTGTGACATTGGAATGAAGAATGCTTAGCGGTAGATTTACTAAAACCGGTGCACTCAAAATCTGGTGCAGCTGTGCATGGTAATCAATCAGCTTCTAACCTCCACTATTGTTATTAATAAGAATGTTTGTTTGTATGATATTATTAGGTAAATCTATAATGAAATATTGTATAAAAAAGGGATTACACTGTGACATTGGCATGAAAAATGCTTAAGGGTAGATTTACTATAACTGGTGCACTCAAAATCTGGTTCAGCTGTGCGGGGTAGCCAATCGGCTTCTTAACTTCAGCTTGTTCAATTAAGCTTTGAAAATAAAATCTGGAAGCTGATTGGTTTCGATGCAGAGCTGTACCAGATCTTTAACTCTCCAATTTTAATAACCCCTTTAGGCAAAATGACAACCGATCGAAGTAAAAATATACACACAAGAGAATACATATGCCGAATTGGAATGCATAGGAGTATATAATTAGCAAAAATTTGATTTCTATAGTGTTTGTGACTCAAAAGAATAGTTCCATACTTCATGTAATGCCACAGGTAGAGGTCATACTGCACAAATAAAAAGCCTATAGAAAGGATGCCCATACATATTTATTTGTATTTATTCTAAAGCAAGCATTGAGTGGTAAGGGGGTTTTGTCCATTCAATTAATCTAGGCAAAAACTAGACTAAAGAATTGGTTCCTGCCTAGAACTCATTCAGAATCTCTAGCTTGTATCAAAGATTTGGCATTGATTAGAATTTCTGAATAAAAGTTATCACGCAGAATTTTTTTTGTGTATAGCATTAATTGATTATTCACATATATAATATTTCCTGGACCTCCCCATGTCCGCCTACCATGGTCAGCTCCACCCTCTCTGAACCCTCCAGGACAACCTCTTTTCTAGCCTTTAAGAGCGGCTGTCTCCCTCAGCGTTCTTTTTTCGTCCTCGCTCTGGACACCTTGAAAAATCTCTCTCTATGGCCTTCCCAGGTTCAGCCTCTCCTGGGTAAGAAGACCCCTCATTTGGGCTGTAAATCTCCCTGTGCGGTGGGTTCCCTTGGTGCAGGGTTTGTTTATGCATGTTTTTAAAAATTCCTAAGGCGGGGTGACTTACCTGTGCATATATCTCATCAGTCTGTGGGCTGGCTGACAGTTGTAGTCCATATCTCAGCAGGTCTGTGGGCTGGCTGGCATCTGGGGCTGGTAATCCCCACATTCATGGTGGCTGTTTTTTGTTCTGGCTACAGAGCAGGCTAGGTGGTGCACTTGTTAAGATGGCAGGGATGCTCTGTGACTGCGTTATCTAGAGCTGCTCTCTCTCTCCTGCTCTGTGGCTACTGCAGAGGCTGCTTGTGCCTCTCTGAGCTCCACCTGTTTACCTAATCACCTATTGCTCCAGCCTGGGTCTTTCTGTTGCTCTGATTCCTCTAGGTCGTGTCAGCTGTTTGTCTGTTTACCTTGGATGCATGCACATGTAATATGACTGTTGCTAAAAGCTGCAGC